AAAAATGGATTTATGTTTGAAGGACTGGCTGAGCAGTGTGTAGCAGGCCTGCAACACCTGGCAATGATATGTTTCCTAGAGGTGGGATCTGATCACAGGACACCTGCCTGCTGTGCAAAGGGGACCCATATGATCAATGATTTTGCCAGCTCAGAGGACACCAGCATCACCCCAAGCCCCTCAGTGCAGTCTGAGTTTTCAACAGGCATCTGGTCACAGGAGGGCACACGCTGGTTGTATGTTTTTAGAATAATTGCCTTAATGGAGTAAGTTGGACAAGCTGTGCTGCTTGGCTGTGTAACCTGAGGACAAAATCAGTTTCACCAGCAGCTTGCTCAATGCTCACTAATAGGTCACGTATAAGGAAATTATCGCAGGAGTAGAGAGCAGAAGAACAAAAAGGCAAAACCCCCACAACAAAGAACTCCAAAAGCCCAGACTGAGAAGTCAGAGGCATTGGCTGAGTGTTTGTGAGCATTTCCCACCGATGGCAGATGAGTGAGGCGGTGCCTCGCTGCCTCAAGGAGATCCCTACTGAGTCTGCTTTAGGCCCCTAAGCAAACACACGGTCCAACCCAGGAGGACTGTTGGCCTCAACATTTACCCAGACATGAGATTTTCTTCTGTGGCTCTAAGGGAGTCACAAATGGCCCTAAGTGGCAGCCTTTAGACAGCTGAAATGCATCACTCTGCTGAAGAGGGATTCCTGCCATCCTGTAATCAGTTATCTATGTAGTATCTTACTGAAACTGATTAATTATTTTCAGGTTTTGATTTTCAGTATTTTTGATGCATTTGAATAATGAGTACAGCATTTGGCAGCTGCCTTTAGCATTCCCTATTTTCATGCCATAACATTTACTACCTCCAGCTAAAAGCAGTTTCTCACTAAATTCCTTATTGGCCAGCAGTGTTCCTCATGTGATTTGCATCACTGTAAATGTGAACAGACTGAAAAAGGCCAATTAAAGAGGGTTGTTTGGCAAACATTCCCTTTTTCTTTATGGGTGTTCTTGCTCTGCAATCTGGAACAGAAGGAAAGCAGAAAAGAGCATAAGACGTCACAGTGGAGCATGGAGCCCATCACTGGTTTTTCTGTTTGTGAATTGGTTCCACTTGGAAATCAGAGTTATGTATCTCATGTATACCTGTGTAACACCTCCCATCTGAGGATTTTAAAGTACTTAACTAGACCATTCAACGTTCTTGTGAAGCTGTTGCTATCCGCTTTGTAGGTAGCTGGCATGGAGATGGGTAAATAATTTATTGGCAGATCTATGAGACATGGCTACTCACCTGTTTTTTCTTGACTGCTAGCTTATATAGCTTGCAAAAATAAACTTCCATTTGTTACTATATGTATCTGCTGTTCCTCAGGGAGTTTACACCATCTAAATAATAACAACAAAACTCTCCAGTGGGAAAAACAAAACAAAAAAAAGCACAAAAATAATTGGTAATTAGTGCCTTAAAATTTGTATGTAAGTGAATTTTTCTGATTTCTCAATAACTTTCAAACTTCTGGAAGTGACAAATTTGGCTACTGGGCAGATTTTGCTTGAGAAGAGTTAATAATACATTGTCTGTGTTGAATCCACTAAGGTCAGCCAGCCAATCTGCACTGAAATCTTACTGTCCAAAGCAGTAAGTAGAATTCTCTCCCTTTCACCTAAATTCTGTGGGATAACTGTTATATTTAAAGTATTTTTTTTTCCTGTTCATATATCAGAAAAAGGGCTGTGGGATCCCACTGGCTTTATTTAAGTAATCTGACATGACTTCTGTCTGCAGAGCCCCGCAGAATTTCCCTCTTCAAAGTCATTTGCACAGGTTGAACTCAATCTGGGACATGTGCTGGTGAAGGGGCAATATTCAGCATCTTCCCACAGCCTGGCGACCTCTGAAAGCCATAAATATCTTCTGGCAACTAACGTCAATATAGAGCACTCTCATAGTTGGAGAAGGAGATGTGAAAATTGTTTACAGTTATATCTGTGTCCCAGGGTGTTTCATGTCTAGAGGCTTGTGCTGGGTGCTCTACTGCATGCTTCTCTTGTACTCAAGGCCAAGAATACAGATTTTCACGTTTGTTTCTAATTACATAGGATGAAACTCCTTTCTTTGGGTCTTTTCATTAGTCTCGTAAAATGTTCACAGGTCACTGACTTCAATAATAGCCAAAGACTTTCAAGAGTCAGCATGGCCAGATCAGGAACTCTTCAATATTTTCTCTACTGACTGGCTTTGTAACAAATCCTTCTGCATGAGTTTTTACACAGTAACTGCTTGGCGTCAAAGTTACATCATTATCTTATTTTTATATCAATTTAGAGAAACAAATATTTCAACATTTTGCAGAGTTAAACATTACAAAGTAAACATATTTATATTTGTTCCATTCGCAGAGAAAAAAAGACACTACCCTCTAAGTTAGTAACTTCTATGATTAGTGGAACGTCTACTACAAATTCCAGGCTATTCATTTTTGCTGTGATTCTCATTAAAATGTTCAAAAATTATAATGGACTTGCCTCAGTGACTTAACTTGTAATGCTTCTGTAAGGCAGAATTCCATTAGTTAAAGGATTTATCATAGCTCAATTACTTCATGATTGCCAATATTTAACATAATTCAGAATAAAATTTAAAAAGTGAATATGAGTTGACATAAATTGAATGTTACAATGATTGGAACATAATTCAGAACCTGTAACAAACCCATAAACTTGGGTAGGACTGCATCAATTCAAGTCAATGGTAAATAAGTTTCTTGAGCAAGAAGAGCCTCTTAGATGAAATCACAAAACCATGTAAGCATATGTTGCAGCCTTTGGTCTTTCTGCATATCATGTCTTATGAAGGGATCTTCATATCAGATGGAAAAAATCCCTTTTGTTTTCCTTCTCTCTAAAAGAGTAGTGAAACAAGCAGTCTAGATTTGTTCCCATTACAACAGGAGTTACACAGCAAGAGCTGGACTATATCCTGGATGACTATGAGTGATCAAAAGCTATGTACTATAGGAAAGTACAGTTATATTGTAAGAAATTCTTCTTTCATTCTCATCAAAGGCTTCATGCATCTCAGAGAAAAAAACTCATTATAGCAAGTCTTATGAACGCATGTGAATTTATCAAAGCCCTCATCATCTGATGCTGATTTTCCACTGCTTGTAACTAAAGATATGAATAATTTATTTATTTCTTATTTATAATCAAACAGTCCTGATTTTTTTTCCATAGTACTTAATATAGTAGGAGTAATTTCAGTCTGTTTCTGACTGTGGCCCATAGCTCTTACTCTTTAACTCATATCAAAACTTGTTTTCTCTGCTCTGTGAACATCCAAGGAAAAGAGGCTTTTGTGCTAGCAACTTCCTACACAGAGAGCTGCACGCTTTCTATGCCTCAGCATTTTGCAAGGTAAGTGAATCGAGCCCAAGAAATTACAAGCAGGGAATCAATGTGGTGTTGGCAAATACCACGTTTACTTATTTTCTGAATTTTAGGTAAAGTTTTCTTATGATGGGAGAGTCGTTTACAGTAATATAAAGCAAGTGGAAGCTGATAAAATGACAAGAAGATGGAAGCTGTGTGTGGTTTTGGACTCCTCAACATGTGAGATATGGACGTACTGGAGAGAGTCCAGCAGGGCCTTGAAGGTGCTGCAAGGCCTGCAGCCCCACTCCTGTGAGAAGAGGAAGAGAGACCTGGGCCTGTTCAGCATGGAGCAGAGGAGGTTCTGGGGGACCTCATCAGTCTACATAAACACCTGAAGGGAAGATGTTAAGAAGGCAGAGCCATGCTCTATTCAGTGGTGCCCAGTGCCAGGACAAGAGGCCGTGGGCACAGAGTGGAGCACTGTAGGTCCTTCTGAGCAGCAGGCAGCACTGCCGTGCTGTGCGGTGTCAGCGCTGGCACAGGTTGCCCAGAGGCCCTGAGGTCTCCTCCTCTGGGGACTGAGCCCCGCTCTGGGTGTCTGTGCTGGAGCAGGGATGAGCCAGATGGCCCAGAGAGTCCTGCCGGCCCCAGCCATCCTGGGGTTCTGGGATAAAAGCAGAAAGAAGAGGCAAGGATAGCGAACTCAAAGTGAATTAATAGCAAGGAGAAAGGTTGTCAGGGTGAGGCAGTGGATGCTGGACCACGTGGAGGAGGGCCGGAAAGAGAAGTGACAAACACCTCACCAGTGTCTGTGCTGCAGTGTCTGTTGGACAGCAGCTCCTTCCACTTCTCTTGCTCTCATTCTTCTTTAAGTGACTTAAGTGACTTGATTCCTCACCAGCAGTATTTGTACTCCCTGAGCCCACGCTGCTTGAGGAAGCTCAGACCTTTCTGTGTGCCAGAGGGAGCCATTTGTGCCTGACTAGGAAGAGCCATGGCTTCCATTACCCAACTTGCATCTGCCCCTGGGTGACAGGGAGTCTTGACAGCCACAGTGATGTAGCGTGCTGGGTTATCTCAGGTGATCTGGAAAACTGCTCTGAAACAGCACATCATTGTGGTGAACTGAGACTCGTAATCAGAACCAAAAAGCTTTTCTGGCACAGGTCACAGCAAAAAAAGGACTCATAACTAACCATAACTAACCAACTAATCAACGGAGTAGGCATAAGTATTGATACGAGGTCTCATGACTAAAGAATTCTGTGGAATTGAGAACTGAAGGAAGTGCTGCTGTGTGTGAGTTATTGTATGGATTTTCTTGATTGGACTCTGGTAGTCTTAGATGGAAATGGATGCACATTGTTACAGGGGGAATGAATCTCTCTGGGGAAGTGCAGCTTTCTCCCGATGTGAAGTTATGTTGCCACATGTAGACTCAGGTCAGCTAACATAAACCTACAAACAGCACATGCCATGGCTCTGTGCAGTTATTATATGGAACTTTATACAGTTGTATGTGGATTTAATAATAAGCAGTGCAGAAATGGATTCAAGTTTTATTGTCTGCTTTAAATATTTGTATTCCTATAATGGAATATTGCCCATTTTTCTCGGTAGGTGCCAGCTTGCGTGATGACCTCAGTAAATACTTCTGGTTTCATCATTCTCAAGGGGACACGATGACAGTTCAAGATCCAAAACAGATGAATCTCTGTGCTGCTGTTTGGGCTGTTGTCTCCTATATAATTGCTGACATGGAAGAGATGCTGCCAAGGTAATAAAGAGTCAAGAGAGAAGATTTCTGTTCATCAGTGAAGACTGTGAGTCCCCATGTAGACACGTGATCTACAGCTGTGGGAAATTCCTTTTTTCACCCTGATTTTGCACATTATTTTGTCTGTTTTCTCCAAAGCGTATACTCTCTTACACACTCCTGGTTCTTTTTGCTGTTTTAACGTTTTCCATTTATGATTTTCACAGTTACCTGAATACTTCTAAAATTTCTGATGAAAGTATGGTATCTCTTTGGTATGATGAAGTAATCATTTGTATGCAAACTGATCATTTGCAGCAGAAAAAATACAACAAAATAAATTTGCCGCATCAGAATAATCATTGTGTTAGTACATATTTATGGTTTTATTTTCTGTCTTTCAGCCTGTGTATTCAAAAGATGTGCAATTAATCTTTTCTTCTTTCACTTTTAAGGTAATAATGTGCTTTTTGGTCCCAGAACAAATTTATCTCAGCTGTTTTAATAGTAATGTATGGTAGAATGGTCAAATTGGTAAAATAGCATGGCTTTTAATAGTTCACTCAGTTCCTGCTGTTAAATCATATTAGAAGTTACTTCATGAAAGACTCAGATAAACCAGGATAGAGGATAGGAAGTCAGTAACAGGATGTCCAGATCTGTAGACAGCAGCAGCTCCCATGTCTCTTTGGTCACCTCCCCACAGAAATCTGTGCCTTGTTCTCTTCTTTCTGATGGAAAACTCCCCACAGAATTGCATGTGGCAATTTTTCTCTGAAACTGATGATATTCCAGAAAAAGCCATCCAAGTTGTGATTGTGACCTTCACTACCTGCCAGCTGATGTCCAAACGAAGCGTAAAAGCAGATTTTGATTCCTGCTGCTGGAGACATTCTCAGAGCAGCCCTCTTTGCTGGGGTCCCCTGCTCTGCTGGAACAAAGGCAAGAGGACCCTGGCACCTCTTTCAAGGAAGAATTAATGTGAGAATTTAATTCTTGCTTTTGGTTGGTTGTTGTTGTTTTGTTTTCCTGCTGAAAGATTATGTGTATTCAAACTTCGAGAGGTGTCAAGAGATAAGATGTGACTGCTGTTGGGGAATGTTGTGGGGCATTTATTTCTTTTCATTTCTGTGTGACATGGTGATTTCTTCTCCTTTTAAGTTTTGCAACAGGCAGCCTTACTGATGTAACCAAGTGTTGCAGTCTAATCAACGCAAAACAGCTAATGTAACAGAGTGTTAAACTGAGTGGCAGCCCATCTCTGGTGCTGTTTATGAGTTCAGTAGTTGAGCAATAGCTTAGTGATGAGCCACTCATTTTTATGGAATTAATAACTGTGATACCTGTTTACCACGATAAACCCCCTAATAGTGGCTGTACATCAACTGAATTAAATATTTCAATTTTCCTTCAAATCATTTCAGGAACATAAGGGGTGCCTAGAGATATCCTGCTATTTTTTTTTTTTTTTTTTTGAAGAAATATTATTTAAAGAAAGATAGCAGAAATTTCCTCTGCTTTCAAGGCGTGACAAGTGTTTGTTTTTTCTTACTTACATGACAAAAGTGTAGCTAGTGGTGCGTATCATTGATGGACCCTCAGCTGCCTCTGAATGCAGCCTTTTGACCTTCACAGATATTACTGGGTGCCTCTTCATTTTTGTTCTAAATCCTTTTTCCTTGAGGTATGGTGCTCTGCACATCAGAGGTTCAGGAGAGTTTTCAGTGAAATTATATTTGTTGTTACAAGTCTTCACATGTGCTCAAACCTCAAAACAGGCTTTATTTGTGTGTTTTTTTCCTCTATAGGTGAATTGGACAGTGAGGTGGTTTGAGAACTGGCTGACTGGCAGAGCATAGAGGGTCATTGGTGGTGCAGAGTCCGGTTGGAGGCCTGTAACTAGCGGTGTTCCTCAGGGGTCGGTGCTGGGTCCGGTCTTGTTCAACATCTTCATCAATGACCTTGATGAGGGGATAATGGCCACCCTCAGCAAGTTTGTGATGATACGAAGTTGGGCAGATTGGCTGGCACGCCTGAAGGCTGTGCTGCCATTCAGCAAGACCTGGACAGGCTGGAGAGCTGGGCAGAAAAAAAACGGATGAGGTTTAACAAAAGCAAATGTAGAGTCTTGCATCTGGGGAGGAATAATTGCATGCACCAGTACAGGTTGGGGGATGACCTGCTGGAGAGGAGCTCTGCGGAGAGGGACCTGGGTGTCCTGGTGGACGACAGGTTGGCCATGAGCCAGCAGTGTGCCCTTGTGGCCAAGAGGGCCAATGGCTTACTGGGGTGCATTAAAAAGAGCGTGTCCAGCAGGTCGAAGGAGGTGATCCTCCCCCTCTCTCTGCCCTGGTAAGGCCTCATCTGGAGTACTGCGTCCAGTTCTGGGCTCCCAGTACAAAAAAGACAGGGATCTCTTGGAAAGAGTCCAGCGGAGGGCCACGAAGATGGTGAAGGTCCTGGAGCATCTCTCCTATGGAGAAAGGCTGAGCGAACTGGGTCTGTTCAGCCTTGAGAAAAGAAGACTGAGAGGGGACCTTATCCAGGTCTATAAGTATCTAAGGTGTGGGGGGCAGAATGGCGAGGCCGGACTCTTTTCAGTGGTGAGTGGAGACAGGACAAGGGGAAACGGCCGGAAACTGCAGCATAGGAAGTTCTGCACAAATTGTGCAAGAACTTCTTTACAGTGAGGTGACGGAGCACTGGAACAGGCAGCCCAGAGGGGTTGTGGAGTGTCCTCTGGAGATGTTCAAGACCTGCCTGGATGCCTACCTGTGCGACCTGCTATAGGGAACCTGCTTTGGCAGGGGGGTTGGACTCGATGATCTCTGGAGGTCCCTTCCAACCCCTACAATTCAGCAATTCTGTAATCAAATTCTTAAATGCCTCAAGTCAGATCTTTTGATGTCTTTGGAGTCAGGAATGCTCTCTGGAGAAGAGAACAATGCTGCCGTATGTGCGTTGACTCCACAGTACATCCCCAGATGAGCTTGTTGGCTCGTCGATTAAATAAGCCTTAAAAACTAGGGTCATCATGCTCCTGATGAAAATTGAACCTTCATAGCAACTTTGGATGCATAGAAGACCTGCAGAGCAGATGTAAAATCAAAATCACAATCTTTTTGTTATGTTAATGGTAAAATTAAAACATGTTTCTTGAATTGAAAACCAATCTTTTTTTTCCCTAAAAAGCAGGGTTTTATTAAAATAATAATCATTTTGATTATGATCTTTTTGATCTTTTTGACTCACCTGTTCTATTTGGTCTGACTTGTAACAGTTCTCAGATCTTAAGTTTCTCGTGCTCGCATTATTCTCCTGATGTCCTTTCTCGTTGAGATGTACCTCTCAAAAATTTCCATAACGGAGAGATGGCAATGAATTTCTTTCCCTGTGGGCTTTTGTACTCGCTGTGCAACAGCTCATCTTAATCCGCACTCAGTGTAGCAATTATGCTTTTCCAATAGCTGGCAATTTAACATATATAGTGTAGTCAATTTTTGGTTCATGAACACTTCTTAAGTGATCCAGGTATAGCAACATTACTTCCTACTTGTATACCACTACAACACTGTTGTCTTACCTTAGCTGAGGAAGTAGAAGCTGAAGATGTTATTTCTATTACTATTATTGTCAGCATCAGCTGTCATAAATATGTGCTTTCAGTAAGTATTTTGATGACATTCTAAGATACGGACACCACGTGTATGTTTCCCTCTGATAAAATAAAATACTGTCAGCTTTGGACTAGATAGGTTTTTTGCCTGAAAAGGTCTGTGAGCTTAGAGCTGAAGAAAAGAGCAGTAGTATTGAAATACGTGTCAAAAAATTTCAATTTCAAATAAATATTTTCCTGAAGGTATTACAAATCTCTCACATCCGATGAGAAGGGAGGCCCCTGGGCAGGCTTCCTGTTTGCTACAACACAAAGCTTTCAGACATAGTTACGGAGGGACGAGTCAGATACATAATTCGTTTAGCCGACTAGATGATAGCACAAGTGCTGATGAAAAATCTCTTTTCAATCCTACACAATGTAACATAGGTAATTTTGCCAGTAATAAAAGGCAAAATACGGGATCAGAAAGCAAGTTGCTGGTTTTGTTCTTCGTATGTCAAAGCATTATTGGAATTTCAATCCCACAAGATTTTTACCTCCTCTAAAATAATTAAAAGCAAAGAGAGCTATTTCTTGGTACAAGGAAACAGCTTCTTCTGCTGTTACGCTGCAAACATTTCTGGCTGTATATTTAGTTAGTATGCTCCCCCCATAACAATTTGAGACTCTTTCATTTGCCATGAGTAAATATCAAACCAATCTTGATATCTATATCTGTCTCATGAAATATACATACCATCTAAATGTGCCCAAATGATTAATTTACTGCTGCGTAATGATTAGCATAAAAATCTCATCATTGCACAGGATAGAAATGTTACCACTAATTGCTGGTTGAAGTGAACAATGTTTTCTGCATAGAAATTAATGATGCGTGCATCACAGCTCACTCTTGAATGGGAAAATTCAAGACTTTCTGGAAGAAAAACTTCTTGATTTTTTTTGTTCTCTTTTCTGCTAAATATGGGAGCCTGATCATCTATCATAGAATCATAGAATTGTTTGAGTTGGAAGAGAGCTTGAAAGGTCATCTGGTCCATATGCCCTGCAGGGATGTCTACATCTACATCTAGTGCTCAGAGCCCTGTCCAGCCTCACCTTGACTGTCTCTAAGGAAAAGGCATCCACCAAATGTGTTCACCATGTGTGTAATGGAAAAAAGTAATATTTTGTCCATAGTTACTTCTGGAAGCTCCAAACCATTTGCATGAAGATTTGACCAGCTATGGAGCAGCGACTTGTAGTTACAATTGTTTCATAAATATGTTGTACAAACACCTGGTGGAAGACTTCAGATATCTCTCTTCTTATTGATCTTGTTGGCACATGGAAGAGGGACCTTCATGACAACTTAATATTCTGCGCTGTCTTTGGCTTGTAGTTTGGTTTCACTTTGAACAGGCCAGCCTTCTTTAGTTTATGTTATATTTTGATTTTCCAAGTCTTTTTGGTGTTCCATTCTGTCTTCCTCAGTGTCTGTATGGTTATATGGGTATTAGAAAAGATTGCCTGACTTCCAAAGTCTGCATTTTTTGTGCCTTGGGCCTCAGAAACTGCAAAATGCAATTGAGATGACTCTGAAGAGCACAAGGGTAAGAGCTCCATCAGGGCCTCTACTTGCTGATGTCCTTGGCCTGTGTTATTGGCAGGCAGAGCTTTGTGACAAGTGAAGTGAATCTTCATCACCACAGAACATTTTCTAAAGGTGAAAGACAGGGTATGGAATCTAAAGAGGGCAACTCCAGAGGATAGACAGCAAAGAGCAAGGCAACACAGAGGCCAGGACAGTGGCTTCAAGTACTGTCTGCAGCTTTGCAGGGTGAGTTGAGGAGCATTACTTGAATCTACCTCAGATTCACTAATAAATAGTGGCAGTGATGTTTATCCTACACTCTCATGCTTGGTGTAGCATGATGTAACAACACAGCATTAAAATTTATAATGCATGTAAAATGTAAGTTAATAGCAGAGTTGAGGTCCCATTGGAGGACAAGAACAAGACTTTAAGATGATTAGCCACTTCAGAATTCATCTGCAAAATGTGTAGTTTAGTAGTTACTATTTGCATTTACATTACTTGCATTATTTGCATTTGCATTACTATCTGCATTTGCTATTTATCATGACAAATAATAAGAAACATTTCTCCTCCTGATAATGCTGCTTTGAAGTAGAAATTGGTCATTAGGCATATCTGTTTTAAAGTAATGCTGCTTTGAATCCAAGGAAGATATGGGGCAGTTGTGCATGGTGCTTTTTATATATTTAATTTCCCAGCTCTGCACTGTGATGTTGCAGATACTCTTTCACAAAGTCACCACAGCCTACAGGTGATTTTTCAGTATTATTGTGGGAAGTCATTTCTAATGGGCAAAGAAGGGAAGTCAAGTGGTTTTCCAAAAGCCACACAACCAGACAGTCCTAAATCTAATTTTGGTCACAGAAGTTCCAGTCTTTGCCAGACTGTGCAGCCTATCAATGAGATGTGACTTTCTTTTTATTTTACGATCCTTTTGAAGCTCAAGTGTAATATTTTGCACAAGAGTGACATTTTTGAGTCTGGACTGCAAATTCAAGAGAGAGAAATGAGAAAATTACTGTATTTTTTCCCATCAGCTAACAAAGTTACTGACTTCTGGAAAGAAGGCATGGAGATCTAAACTCTTTTTATGAATCTTAAAACATATTCAAAAATACCTACACCAGTTTCCATCTTTATGCATAACACAGAAAAGCTTTCTTATCCTGAAGATTACATCTTCATTTCTACTTGTTTTCAAAGTATGCATTTCACCTGCAGAATTTGCCAAAAAATATCTGGATTTACAGAGTGACAACTTTATTCTTTAGTCTTAGTGGGAACTGAGATAAAAATGCCTGCGTGCATCTTGATCAAATCCTGTGCGTGCACTGAATATCTGAGAGTCTTGCAAACTGTGATTTCTCTGAGGTTCTTTGTGGCTTTCATTATAATTTTTGGAATATTTGCACTTTACTTTTTTGCATTCAATATGTTGCTAACCCTAAATCATCTATACCCCTGCTTTTTCTGGGGACATTACATCAGTGATACAGCTGCAGAGATTTCATACCTTATTGCCTATACTTAAAAGCAGCTTTCTCAGTTCTTTTACAAGTCATCGTGTTTGGTTTTTTTTTTGCTTTAAACTTCTATTACGAGGACAGAAAATGATCACAGCTCGTAATATAAGACACAAGATAGAGAAACTCGTGATTGCTCAGAAATAGATAACAAAATATCTACATTTTTAATACAAACTCCATGCTGTTTTTTTTGTACCTGTTATCCAGTTTTAGCTCATCAGTCAATTGAATTTAATGAAAAGAATTACTAGAGAGTGAGTCATGGGACATTTAGGCTTGTGGAGTTTAAAAGGCATAAAATCACTGTGTAGTTTCTGAATGGAAGTAAAATGTTGAGTGCTTTACCCCTCCAAATTGCTTATCACAGGAGCAGAGGAGGCTATAAATATCTGCAGAAAAGTGCACGCTTCTCTTCAGCAGCAATTCTCAGTGCTGAGTTCTGCATAGCATTTATTTTAAGCCGGTACAATGTAGCCTGAACCTTTAACATGAAATGTTGAGAAGGAAATCCACAGTAGTTGTAAATTCCTATATGCCTTTTTGGAATGGTAAACAGGATATTGCTTTGCTGGGAAGTGAGCTTGCATTTAATATTGCTCTCCCTCTAAGCAGGAGTCCTTTTGACTATATGGCAAGCTTATTGGAAGGGTAAGTGTGAGCAGTAGAAGTAATTACTTAAAAAATTTTGACTTGTTAGATCTTCATAAAACTGCATTTCTATGTATAAATACCTTTAGCTACTGAATAGGCGAAGTTTGTTTTTGGCGTGTGCAGCTGTTGAAACCCAGCTTTGTTCATCTCGTAAACAGGAGTGTTTCTGGATGTGTAAGATAAGATAAAATATTTCAGCAAACTCTTTCAGTACCATATGCACTAAACAATAAACTATCAGTGTTTTAAAAATGAGTCTGTTTATTGTCTGGAATAGATTTCTAATAGTAAGGAGGATTCATTTGGCAAGTTGATAGAAGGAAGCAGACTCAGTTGAAGGAAATCTACAATTTTAATTAAAATTCCTCTTCAGATTTGCCACACTAGGCATTTACATGAACTGAAAGGCCAAATTAGGGCAAATATGCATGTACTTCTCTGGTGATCAAACTCCCAACAGTGTCTGTTGGTATCATCAGGGACTGCTCTGTAGGAGACTGTAGGATTATGAGTTTCTTCATCCCCTACAGAATGGCTGGATTGGAAGAGACTTTATAGAACACCTTGTTCCAGCCTCCTGCCATGGACACAGTGGGTATTCTGTTTCCAGCTGCAAGTACTATGTAAGCTTGACTTCGTGAAGTGAGAGCTAGAAGCGTTTATTGAAGAGAAATGCTGTGCCTGACCCCACATCTTTGCATTAGAAACAAACAATGAACAAACAAGCTCAGCTTCACATGCCAGCCTGGGTGACTGCACTGTCCGTTGGTCCAATGGATGCTCACTCTGCAGCTGGAGAAAAGAGAGCTGAAAGTCCTTCCATGCAGCTAATGCAGGATCACCATGGAGCTCTTTCTGCTTAGTTACTAGGCACAGACTCCCTTTGAATCCACGGTGCTGAAATGAGAGTTTTCTTGCCTGGCAGCCATGTGGAGGTGAATATGACTTTTGTTTCTCCCTCTCCAAATGGTTGAAGTTCATGAAGAGCTCAGGGTCACAGCTCTTTTTTTTTTTCCTCCCAAATAGCTTGAATTATAGTTCAAACTGCAGTACTTGTGTGTGTTTTAAACTTGGGTGTGCAATGGATTTGTAATATATAGCGTTGTCATCACACTGTGAAATCACTGAAGTTGAATACTTTTCATGTTCCATATCTCTGCGTTTCAGAACTGTGTCTAAACAAGCAGGAACAGGAATGGCTGTCAGTGGAGTGCTTGACGGTATCTTCAAAGCAGAAGAGCAGAGTAAACATTTGCTGTGTGTGCTCTATGAGGTGTCAATGAAAATTTTATCCCTCCCGTCCACATCTGTGAAGTGATGGATGGGGAAAACCTGACTTCTATATTTCTGATGCTGTTAGTCTTAGAGTTGCTGCTGCAGTGCTTCTAAATCTATTTGAGGTGTAAGATTATACGAGACATCAGGATTTGACAAACTTCAGAGAAGCTGCAAACGTACCAATGTTGTTTATTGCACAGTGTTTATTATCCTTTAAAACAGAAATGTCTGAGTTTTGCACTGTCTGCAGAAACGTTTTTACTGACCAGCTGAAGTTTTGAAAGATCTCTGTGAGGTTGGTGTTGTAAAACAGCAAAATGAAATGAATTCCTGTGTTTTTAACAATATCAATTTTAGGCCCTTCCATGGAAAAAGATCATCAGCACAGTTTAAAATAATTGTAGGAAGAGTTCCCAGTGTTCCATCAATTTACACTGGCTTAAAATACAATGAAATGAAGATTGCAGCTTCAGATAAGCATCGGTCACATCGGTACGAATTACTTTAAAAACAGTTGTAAATGTACACAGATGGCATTGGGTGTTCAGAACTCAAGCAGGGAAAGCAGTTACATTGGATTTGTTTTTTTTTCCTGAAGTTATTGTGATTTCTTCAATATCCCCCTGTTGCCATTAATCCCCCACATTCTAACAAGCTCCAAATTTACTGCCATGCTGTAAAAGTTTGCTTTCTGACCACTTTTTTCCTTTAGGATCAGCTCCGTCTGGTGGTTTTCACTTAAAACAATAAACCAGAACTCCCAAGCCCTATCCTGACTGTGTAGCCATCGTGCTGGGTGGTCTTGGCACACCCTACAGGTATGACTCCTGTGCAGATGTGTTTTGTGAAAAGCTTAACAAGGTGTATTTTCTAAACTGGATGCTGTCAAAAGCATGGGACGCTTTTTGTTCTAATGAGGCATCTTTTGTCCTTGGTCATAACCTGAAAGCAGCTGAGGTTTTGGCATCACATAATTATGCTCCATAGGTGAGTTAACCTTACAACTAAATAATACTTCAGCTTGACTGGAATCTGAATACCATTGTGGCCCTACTTTGTTGTGACTGATTCATGGTCTGGGATGGAAAACACAGAATTTGATGGTTTTTTGACCTTCAAACAAATGAAAACTTGGAGTTGTGGAGCATTTTCTGTTGGTTAAAAAAAAAATGGATTCTTTGTATGTGAAATTGTAGACTTTTGCCTTTAAAGTTCCACACAGAGACTTCTAGAAAATAACATCATGAGGAGAGAATAGCAATGTTTAGTACAAAACCCATCATGCATAGTAATACCATGAGACTGTAAAGAAGTAATATATCCCAAAGTTAAAGTGTTGTGTTTTTTTTTTTTTCCCCTAGAATGAGAGTTAGCACAATAAAACTGTAATTTTAATAAAATGTCTTATTTGTTCTTAACACGTTTTCTTATAGCTGCATGAAATGAGCCTTACTGGAGTAAATTCAGAGAAGACTCTGCAAATGCAAATAGGTTACACCCTTCTGCATTATCTTGAACAGAAATACACAAAGAGCTCACACACATATTCTGCTTCTGTTCATGGTGGTTACAGAGCCTTTAGTACAAATAATTAGGAGTCATCCCTCATAAAGCACTAACAAGTTAGTGAAATGTCAGAGGATTTCCCTCTATGTTCAGTTTCATTACAGATTCTTCTACTTTCTATTTTCTTAGTAGATACAATTAATGACACTGAAGACTTCTCAGGGTAGAAAATTAAAGTGAGAATTTGGCTTAAGAAGAGTGTTTACTGATAACTCTGTTTTCAAGCTCCCAAATACATCAATTGCTTTTTCACCTGTCAACCCCTGGCTCCAAATTTGATACATGGTATTAACTGCATCACTTTACTAAAGGAAATTACAGAAAAACTTAGTTATATAAAAGTGTTCTTTGAACTTTAAGGTGAAACAAGAACTCTGTCTTTAAGATGACTCACTGCCTTCAAATATTTTTTCCAAATACTTTCTTTAAAAATTGATTTTAATTTGTGTCACAGACACTATGCATGCCCACGATTCACTCATCTGGAAGAAAGCAGCACAAGGAGAATAAATTGCATGCAATGGATCTGAGATACTGCTCTAAGCTGGAATAAGGCTCTGGATTTCAGAAACCACTTCAGTTTGCCAGCAGTGACCACCAAAAACAAGTTAGCGTCGGGTGTTCAAGGAATGAAAACCACATTTGTGCCTTGTGTTTAGTGTGGAAGAAAACTAAACATCCTTAGAGAAGTGGGATGTATAAGGTAAAATAACAAGAAGAGCAAGTGGCAAGATAAAAAAATTCTTAGTGTGCCCATATACACAGCACCGGGATACCTGGAGCACTCCCCTTTTCTCATGGATGGAAAAAATAAAGAAACTGTAGACCAGAATGCCTACATTCAGTACAAATGTATGAAAAAGTAAGACATTTGAATCCAGGAAATACTCTGGTTGCCTCAGATGTTGTTACAGGACCAAGACCTGAGTTGGCTGATGTCAGGCTTGGAAGTTTAAACCAGCTTTAAGCAGGTCTGTGCCAGCTGGATGGAAGAATTGCATAACTGATGGGTTCATTATCGTTCATCACCCAAGTAGGTGAAAATGAGCTGATCTCGGTGCACTTTTATTAGAATTTTGATTCAAGGAAAATTGGGAACAATCCCTGGTGCCAGAAGAACTGTTATATGAAGTTGTGGTTGGAAACTGCAGTGTGTAATACTGCTGTAGCAGGGCTTTTCATCTCCCTTTTTGCCTTTTCAGAGGATTGTTTCGTGCAGTGAGTTCTGAGTTTTTTTGTCAAGGTTTACTTTAAAGTTTGAAATTGATGGGCTTCCCACTATTTCCCTGAAGCAAGTTTTCTTTGCAATGAATCTTCTCAACAAACTTCTTTGGAGCTGGTACCTTACCAGTGGGATAACGCCGGCGGTCAGTGTGCTTGCAGAATCTTCAGACATGAGAAATCTGCCCTTTTGTCTTCTAGGGGAAAATGAAGTTTGTGTGACTACAGATGTTGGTGATTTATTTATATTGCGTGCAGTGATTCTTAATTGAAGAAAGAAAGGAAGAAAGTCCCGACTGCTTTTGTGCAACCTCAGCAGCATTGAGGCAATGACAGATGGAAGGACTGCTGTACGAGGCACAGGCGCAGTGATCTTCGCTCATCGTATTGCTGTGCTGTTTGCCTTCAGTATGTCACTAAAAATTCAATATCTCAATAACACATTCAGAGAAAGCTCATGAAATCCAAAGGGCCTCACCTGTCTCAAAAGAGGAGATTCTGAAATGTTCAGACTTGCCTGCCTTCCATCCAGGGGGTTTCATGTCACACTGTGGTTGCTATCTAATACTTCAATGTAAACAACAGGAATAAGACTGCATCAAAGATCGTTTTTACACTTTCATCTTAAAAACAAAGTAAAATAAAATAAAATAAAATAAAATAAAATAAAATAAAATAAAATAAAACTAAAACATTTTGACCATGGCTGAAACAAAAGACATGGCACAGATGAAGTGACATGCTCCCCGGCAGGAGAAAGGTGTGGTTCAGTGAGACAAAAGGAAAGTGCATGTTTTCTCACAATTGAAATTATCTGAGGATGTATCTTACAATCAATCTCCCCTCCAGAACATATGGATTCATACATTCAGGACAAATTAAATAACCAGCCCATTTGAATTTTAAAGAATAATGTGGTTAATAAATAGAGAAAAGATCAGGGAGCTATGATGTAGCAAGTCCTCTGAAAGTTTCTTAATGGCAGTTAATAAAACTTCAAAATCAATATATGACTTTCCTGGAATCTGACGTAAAGTCATTAAAATGGAAGAAATAAGATGCAAGCTGGTGTGCTTGCTAGAACTGAAACATTTGTGTCCTGGACACTTTGTGTCTGGGGATGAAGATGATCAAAATTTCTGTGAATTAGTGTTACACTAAATTCTGCAAACCAAAGGTTTTCACAAGAAAGTGAAAATCATTCCCTCAGTGTATCACCTTGACAACATGTTATAAAAGGTTGCATTCTCTTCCTGACTGGCTATAAAAGGATGGATGGAGTTTTGTTTTGTCTTGAGAAAAATTACTGCTGTCTCCTTTGTAACACATGGAAAGAGAAATGGCTGTCCATGGCACAAAGGCCAGCCTTCCCATGAGCGCTACATATTGGTTTCCATTGTTAAAAAAAAGGCTATTTCTAAAAACCTTTTATTTCCCACCTCTTCCCATCTCCTAGACCTGGCTACCAAAGCCCTACAAGTTCTCAAACCAAACACGATTGTAATGCAACAAGAACAAGCCCCAGCTGTTTTTCAAGGTTTGAAAATATTTTTCTTTCTTTGTTTAAACAGCTACCTCAACGCCAGGCAGCCTCTGTGTTTGAAGCTACTTATGGAAAGGGTCTCCTCTACATCTTCCAGTGATGCTTTCGGAGCATTTGATACTAATGATAATGTATTGGGGCAGCTTTGTGCTGTTCTGGTACAATGTATCATGGTTTCACTAGCAACTAGCAAAGCTCCTGATATTTCATTTTCAGAATTTTTTTTGCATTTTTTTATTCCCTGTGTTACTTCGTTTGAATTTGAATGATGACAGACAGCAAACACCACTTTACTCCTGATGGTCTTTGGAAAAAAAAATAGTATCAAGAAAAACAAGAGGGGAGAGAGAGACTGTCCCTTCGAATTTCCTACACACCAGTGCTGCTTGCTGGGTCTTGCATTTTGGCACAGAACTAGGGCTCAGAAGGGATTGACATTACTGGCATGCCTTGCTCCTCAGACTGAGGGAGCTTCCACTAAGCTGGGCAGAACTTTCTGCACTTTATTTTCCTTTTGAGTTTCAAGCTTGAAGAAACACCATACCCTGCAAAGAAAACTCAGTTATAAAATTGAGTTTTATAACTCAGAAGAGAGAGCTGTTTCTCTTGGCTTCATGGTGAAGATGAGATGGAAAAAGTAAGTTCCTCAGTGAATTTAGGTTGTTGCTATATATAGAGCTGGTTTTGTGTAAAGGCATAGGAGACTTAGGAAACCTGATAATGAAATATATGTGAAGGCACAAAGCCAGTTACATTCAATATGATTTCAGGTTTTATTGAGAAGACCCTATAATGTATTTCATGGAGTACTTAAAGCTAACAGTGTAATAAAGCCAGGCATAGAACTTAAATGCACACAGCCAGGCTAGCTGTGCTCATGGCCGATTCAAATGCCTGGGCTGGTGGGGCTTTCTCACCACAAGTTCTTGCACCAGTGCAGTGTAACATTCACACTAAAATCTCCAGAACTGAAGTTGGAATGAGTTGTATCCATTTAATGGTATCATCTGACCACTGGAAGTAGCTTATTTTTAACTGAAATCCATGTTCGCCCGAAATATGGCACTTGCTTGAAAAGCAAATTATAGGTTGGTGGTACTTCTGCATGGAAGTATGGTAGCAGGAATGGGTCCTTCCATTAGTCCTGAGACAGCCTGTGTGAGCTCTGTGACAGAGCAGTGGGTAAAGCCTTAGTATGAAGCGCAGCCATGTAAGACACCATCCCAGTCTGTCCGCTGGCTATCTCAAATATGTTCCTTGGTGTCACTTCTTTTCCAGCACTGGAAAAGGGGACATCAGTAGTTCCAGTGTTAAGGAGGAATTCAGCAAAGATACTTTGCAAATCCCTGTCTTTGTAAGGTGACGTTGTAAGATGTGAGATGTCCTTATACCTAATGTGTTTAAATACAAAATACAGATTTTGCTTGCAGGTGTATATTACAAAGATAATTGTGCTTTTCATCATTCCTTACTTTAAGTAATGGGTACGTACATGAGTGAGGGGAGAGTAGGGGGGATGTAAAGCCTGACGAAAATCAGAACATGCAATTCTAGAAGTACTAATTGCACAGCTTGCTTTAATTGAAATGCATTTTTATTTAAAAAAAAAAAAAAAAAACAGCAAAACAAGCAACAATAACAAAAAAAAAACAAACCACAGTTTTCTGTAAGCACATCAATGTAGGTCTACCCTTTGATTTATATAGAGGAAGGATTTAATTGAAGGTAGGCAGCAGCTGCTTTGATTGAGCTCATAAACATTTTTTCCATGTATAGAAGGCAGCACAGAAAATATATTGAGAAGTTCTTGAAAGAGAAAAACTAGCAGAGCCAGGCATTGTGGAAAGAAGTATAAAAGGGGAGCTAGAATGGACTTTATTCTTCTCATTCATTTAGTTCCCCAAACAACAGACTCTTGCTTTGTGGGAAAATAGTTAGGGTCTTCATTCCCTCCTGTGTAAGCAGGAAGGAGCTGCACACCATGCAGAGCCTTCAGCAGCAGCCCTGTGCTCCACTGGACCTGGGCTACATCTGGATGTGTTTTCTTATATAAATGAGAGGCAGAGAAATTCCCTCCTGCCTTCTGCATTTTACTTTTTCTCAAATCAAAGGTAATATGGACATCTCAGTGAAAACTAGGCTCAGATCACTGTGTTTAATAAAAACAAGCCCTCAGTTTTTCATTCTTATTGTACTTGTTCCTACAAATGCCATGGAAATTGCAGGATTTTTACTTCTTCCAGTTTCTTTTACAGTCCTTTGGAGTAGAAACAGAGCAGGCCAGTTTTGCATCCAGGCCTGGGGCCCCCAGCACAAGACGTGGAGCTGTTGGGGTCCAGAGGAGGCCACAAGCATGCTCAGACGGTTGGAGCACCTCTCCTAACAAGAAAGGCTTCTACAGATACCTCAATCAGAAAAGGAAGGTGCAGGAGAGCGTAACCTCCCTAATGAGAGAAAAAAAACAGCTGGTAAAAACAGATGAGGAAGGTGAAGTATGTAACAGCTTTTTTGCCTCCATATTCTCTGATAATGCTTGTCACACAGCCCTCAAATGTGTGGTTTTGGTAGGAGTGGATAGGGGAAGCAACATCCCTCCCGCTGTAAGCAAAGATCAGGTGACCACCTGAGGAATCTGAAGATCCACAGAATAAGTGTCCTGACGAGGTGAATCCTAGAGCCATGAGGAAATTAGCCAGTGTAGTTGCCAAGCCACTCTTCATGATATTTGAAAAGTCGTGGCAATCGGGTGAAGTTTCTGGTGACTGGAAAAAAGGCAACATCACACTTATTTGTAGGAAGCATAAAAGGGATGATCCTAGGAACTACCAATCTGTCAGTCTCATCGCTGTGCTGGGAAAGATCATAGAACAGATCCTCCAGGAACCAGTGCTAAGATACATGGAAGACAGGGCAGTGATATGGGAGAATCAGCATGGTTTTAGCAAGGGCAAATCCTGCTTGACCAACCTAGTGGCCTTGTATGACAGTGTCACTGCATCAGTGGTCAAGGGAAGAGCCACTGTGTCATCTATGTGGACACTGACATGGCCCCCTACAACGTCCTTCTCTCCAAATTGGAAAGATATGGATTTGGTTGGTGGACTGTTTGATGAATGAAACATCCCTGGATCGAGTCCAGAGAGTGGTGGTAAATGTCTGAGTGTCTCAATGGAGATCAGTGATGATTGGTGTCGACCCAGGGGTTGGTGCTGGGGCCGATACTTTTTAATATCTTCACCAATTACATTGACAGTGGGGTCAATTGCACCCTCAGCAAGTTTGCTGATGACACTAAGTTCTGAAGTGCAGTTGACACATCAGGAGGATGGGATGCCATCCAGGGACCTAGACAGGCTTGAGCAGTGGGCCCAGGTGAACCTCATGAGATTAACAAATCCAAATGCAAGGTCTTTCACCTGGATCGAGTCAACATCCACTATCAGTACAAGCTGGGGATTGAGGATTGAGTGCAACCCTGCTGAAAAGGACATGGGAGTACTGGTGGATGGCAAGCTGGACATGAGGCAACAATGTGCCTTTGCAGCCCAGAAAGCCAACTGTATCCTGGGCTGCATCAAAAGAAGTGTGGACAGCAGGGTGATGGAGGTGATCCTGCCACTCTGCTCTGTGCTGGTGAGGCCTCACCTGGAGTACTGTGTCCAGATGTGGAGTCCTCAGTAAAGAAGAGACATAGACCTGTTGGAGCACTTCCAGAGGTGGGCCACAAAACTGATCCAAAAGATGGAACACCTCTCCTATTAGGACAGGCTGAGAGAGCTGGGGCTGTTCAGCCCGGGAAGAGAAGGCTCTGGAGAGACCTGAGAGCAGCCTTTCAGTATTTGAAGGGGGCTTTAAGAAAGAAGGGGACAGACTCTTTAGCAGTATCTGTGGTGACAGAACAAGGGGAAATGGCTTCAAACTTAAAGAGGGGAGATTTAGACTGGATGTAAAGAAAACATCTCTTATAGTGAGGGTAGTGAGGCACTGGAACAGGTTGCCCAGAGATGTAGTGGAGCCCTGTCCCTGGAGACTTTCAAGGCAAGGCTGGATCAGGCCCTGGGCTACCTGACCTAGCTGTGCATGCCCCTGCTCATTGCAGGGGAGAAGAAACAGATTACCTTTAAAGGTCCCTTCCAACTCTAAGGATTCTGTGGTTCTAATTGGCATCTATCCTCCAAAGCTAGCCTTGGATTTTTCACTTCAGCAAACATTTCATTAACTTTGGTGGAAGCACAGACCAACCTTACCATCAGGCCTTGGGATTTACAACTGGAACTCCATAATTAAACATACAGTTAAACATCCTCTAACTGCTGTTTGGGTTTTGTTTTGTTTGTTTTTAACTATCACACAAAGAATGCTGATTAGAAATCTGAAATGCCATCGATTTGAACAGCATTTTGGAAGTGATGTGTGGAATAAAAATTGCAAGCTTCACACTGTGTACTTCCTGGCTTGCAAAATATGTGCTTATAAAGAGAAATTGCAGTGGAATATCTTTCCTGAAAAATAGCTCAATTTTCATGCATTACGGAGGTTCATCATCTCCTCTTCCTTGGCTGTGTTGGTTAGCATTCATGTGAAACCTTTCCAATATGCAATTTCAGCAGAATCTCCATGACTAATTTTAGTTTTATTTATCATGATGCTTCTTTTTGTCTCCAGTGGTCTCTGTTATTGAAATATCCCCACAAGATAGTGTAAAATAACTTAATCTGATACCCACACATAGTCTTGTATCTGAATGGCTGAGTTCAAAGTTACGTAGTTTGTATGACATAAATACCTATAAATGGAGGTAAGAATGTGTTTTGGTTGTGTGGTACTTCAAATACCAAAGATGTTAATGCTGGACCTCGTGAAAATTTTCTGCATGAATCAACTCTCCCAAAAGAAACACTGACATCTGTGGAGAAAAATTTATTTCCTTCTAAAGTTTGGGAAGGAAGGGGAAACCTCCCGAATAATCACTTAAGTATTTCCAGATTTGAGACTTACACGGATTTTATTTTTTCCTTCTTCTCCCCATATCTTTCTTCTTCTTTGAAGGTGACAGCATAAGTCTTTGGGTTAGGAGTTTCTTCTCTCTTTTATTGCTCTCTCACCAACTTTTCAAACAGTGGGGATGTAGAGGTGAAAGATGAAAGGTAAAAAAGTCTTTGGTTATTTTCTATTCTAAGGAGTTCAGGCAAAAGTTCACACATTCATTTTCAAAATATTTTTTTGCATTGATTTATAATGTTTTCTTTTAAGATGTTATCTTTCTTTGAATTTGTCCTCTATATTGAATTTTTCCTTTATTCAGCTCACTCTTTTGACAGTCTCTTGAAATACTGAAAAATAGATTATCACTTCATTACGTTATGGTAAAATTGTAATACAATAGATTAAACACCAGTGCATTTAGAGTTACAGCAAATCTCTGCAGTTTAAGCTACATTTCAATTATATTTAGACCTATGATTTGAGTTGCTACATGATAGACTACACTCTTCCCTTTTTGTCATCTTGTTTGCAGTCTGTAATTACCAGGTACATCCCTGACTGCCTCTTTTAGCTGTTTGGAGTCTGAGCGCATTGCAAAGCAAGCTGATGGCTGATTCTTCAGAGCCTGAGAAGTCACGAGCTCCAGAGTACTCCAGGATCCAGTTCTGGGTCTGCACACAGAGCCTCTCCTCCTTTATCCCCTCCATCTCCCTGTGGGCTCCCTTTCTGCTCAATCACACTTCACCATCCTGCTGCTGAACATCTGCACCCCCATGGCAGAGCACACCCATGCTGACACAAAATATTGCAAGAGGTTTTTCCAGCAGCCTGGGCCCTTCTTACACAGCGCAGTGTATTTCTGTTGTGATTTACTTATTCCTGGTATAAGCATGGTCTCATTTTAGAACCTATTTCTATTTAACTCAGAGAAACTGTCCACATTAAAGGCTGTGTAAATTCCTTTGGAAATACCAGTGGATCAAAGGAAAAGCCAGAGTGAGTGTTGATTTATCGTGTAGAAGACACAGGGAAGGGACACGAGGTGCTTTCCTGTCTTCTGCAGAGGGACAGGGTACAATCAGCCCTTAAAGGGCAGGTCCTGCCACCACTGCTATCAGCAGAATCAGAGACTTCAGCTGTTTCAGCAAAGCTGGAGATCTGAAGGCCACCAGAAGCTACCAAGAACAGAGGGACTCCATCCTCAGATCCACTGGGGTCTCCTATTGTCTCCTGGGGTCTTTCAGATCTGTTTTGAAGGAAAGAAGTTCTTGAGGAAGATAAATACACCAATACAAGATCCACATCTAAAGCACACCTTAGAGCTTGCAGTGTAATCCATTGCCTATGATTGCCTATCATAGAATGATAGAATTATTTGATCTTTTGATGCAGACCGGGATACAATTGGTTTTCTGGGCTGTGAGGGCACACAAGGTAACAATGGGAGCCTCGAATGGATGTCCAGCAGTGTCCTGTTCTCTTCCACTCCATCCTCTCTTGTGTGGCTGTACTTGATTAATTCAGATTCCCTCATCATCTATGAGGGATCAGGCTCAAGTCTTATCTACTTGTAATGTGAGCAGCTTTTATTTCATGTTTATAGGATGGCAGAACATTCACCTGGGTGTCACTGGAAACTGCAAACCCACCCTTCAGGTTGGAGTTCAGGATCTGTTTCAGCTGCAAAGGAGAGTTTGGGCAGTGGGGCAGGATGTAAGGGTGCTGGCATGGACTGTGTTGTGAGATGATCCCTGCCCTACACACAAAAACTCTTATTAGCAATGGAATCATCAGTCTTCCTTTGTAGATGAAAATAGATGCCTGGCTGAGGCCAGGAGGCTGCAAAATGCTTCTGAGTATCTTAAAGTTAAAAAATATCAAGGCAGTGAGTGTTCCCTGCTGGTAGCAGGATAGAGGGGGAGCACACAAGTATCTAGACAGAGGACAACTGCACTGGGTCAGCTGAGAGCGCGTGAGGAGATAGGTGCACTGTTACTAAAAGGCAGATGCACTGGGGAGTCCAAAGCCTAAAAGATCCTTCATTGTCATCTTAAAGGCTCGAAGGAGTTACGGCTAAAATATGAGACATCAGTCTAACAGGTCTGTTTACAGAGACTTCTCCAAACTGATCTCCTGTCAGAGCTTTTGCTCTTGCAAACTCTTTCTTTTGCCTTGTGTTTTGATTCCTTTCATCTTAAAGGACACTCTGCCATTTTCCAATCTGTAAATAAAACTCACTCTGATAAAGGTCACCAGCTCAGTCTCTGGGAATAGCTGCCCCACAGTGAAAGGCAAAGTCAGTTCGAGGCTGCTCAGTACTGCCCTTTGAAGCCAAGGTCTAATGAACATCATCCAGCTCCCAGCACCTGTTGAACCTGAAGAATAAGCAGATCGTCTTTGTGCAATTATCCTGTGAAGCAAAAACAGGATTGCTGGAGCTTTTCTCGTGGATCAAGAGTGAGCCACGGTGGGCAAAGCTGGAGCACAGCAGGGAACACAAGGTTTGGCTGGTCTGGGTCAACGTCTCTCATGGGGTTGGTGTGTCTATATGTCGGAGTGTTGCAATCCCCCTGCCAAAAGCCAGCTCCACTGTCAGCTCCTGCCTCAGTTCCACAGGAAGATATTTGGCAAATCGCATGCTGACATGTTTATCTTGTTAGCTGTCAGGATGAGTAAGTGTGCAAGCTGAATGCTATCATTCATCTTGAATGGAGAAATAGGTACTGCTCATGAAATGTGCCACAATAAATAAATTTTCAAACATGATTTTTGTCAGATGCATATTAATTCCCTGTTCAGCTCCTGTCATAAGTGACCCTAAATAGACCTGTACTCACTGGCAGCCCCAAATCCCCTCTTCGGGCTCGCTTGGTGACACTATGCAATCATGGGACAACAAAGTGACACTGTTGCCTGCTTATAAACGACGGATTGAGTTAGCTCCTGCCCTGGCAGATACACATTTATATGTCTTCTAGCATCTAATTACACTGAAGCATCCAACAGAAACCTCATATTTGGGCTTCTAATGCTAATCCAATAAAAAAGCAATGCAGCCATTTCAAGATAATTATGGCATCAGCAACCCCCTGCCTGCTTGCAGGCAGCATTCATGGGAACCCCTCCTGGGTGTTCAGGCAGTGTGAGAAAATAGCGAGCACATTGAATCCCATTTCTGTGACACAACCATTGCAGTGTGTTGGAGTACCTCAGAGCTAAGAAATCTCTGAAACATCAACATTTGGTTTCCTGCTTGATCTGAACTGGCCTTGCCTGAGGCAGGCTGTGATACCATACTGCTCTGTTGTGTTCCAGAATTAAGAACAGCAGAGCTTGTCCGATCAGCTCCCTCGACAGCGATATCAAAGCGCCTCATTCACACTGAAAAGCATCAGGCTTTGGCCCACTTCCCTTCTGTTATTGACATAAGGGGGAGCAGCAGGAGGAAGCAGAGGATTGAAGGCTTCCCCATTCCTGGCTGCACATTCTTGCTCCACCAGGTGAGTTTGTAAGTGGATGCCTTG